CGCTTATCTCCAGAGCGTTGCTCTGGAGACGAGAGCACCGTTTTCACCCCCCTTCCTCCATTCCAGTCCATCACAGATTGTCTGTGTTTCCCATCCATTACTCTCTTGTTTAAATTTGAACAGCATTTGAACATAAAAGTGGGAGACTGACTCTTAAAAGTTTTCTTCTCTCCTAACAGTTTATGGTTACTAATAAACACCTTTGGAACTTCCTACAGTTTTCAAAACAGTGGTGACTGTCCATCTCTGTGTGTGCCAAGATGGTAGATGGAGTGTTGTGATGCAAGCCACCTACCTTCAGGGGTGAGTTTGCATTGTGATGCACAGTTCACCATCTTGCCCATTTTGATCCATGCGTAGACATACGTATACCATGGATGCTTCTGCTCCAAAGGCAGTCCTATTAGAAGATGCTCGAATAGTCTAGCTCAGAAATCACCCAAGTCTGGGTTACATTAGCAAGGTCTACTAGATTCTAGGAGTCTTGGAGCACTCCTTTTAGCTTGTACGGTATCTACCTTGCCTTGGCCACCACATGCAATTATAGGAACAGTGCAAGATCACAAAGCATTCAAAATTGCTAAGTGGAAGCTTTGAGGATCCACCAGGGCCATGCACAGAAAATGTTTGTCTCCTGTTTCAGGAGCCCAAGGGCCTTTTCATGGGGGCAACTGTCTCTGATGATTACATTCACGGCAAGATGTCCATCCATTGCTGTAGTTCAGCATTTGAAAAGATCAGATGGATCAGTACTTCTCGTTAAAGCAATAAAAATAAAGTGATAATCCCAAGAGTCATTTCAGTATACTACATACTCCTATTTAGTAGGCCACTAACTTTGATGAACAAAAGCAATGAGGAACAAAATTAAACTGTGAAGATGCTGAGAGAAGAAATGTGAGGAGCGATTGTACCCCACTTGGGCCTTTCCAAGGCTTAAAAAGTATCTGGGGATCTGTAAGACAAATGTTTTGATAGAAGTTTCTCACTAAGAAAAATAGGAAATTGGGGAAAATTAATAAGCATCTATAATTTTAATAGCTATTCAAAATACTTTAAATGACTTGTCTCAGCTCACTTTGAATCTGAATATCTCCAAAATAGGATCTATTCTCAGAACAAACAGATTTTCCAAGGTCAGAATTTTCATCTGATCTCATCCTATCCATTATTGATTCCCTAGTAGTTTTTTAGATCAGCCATCCTGATCCGTTGGGTTTGGAGTGTGATGAGTTTTCCAATCCCAGGACTCCAGTCAACAACTCTCACTAGTTTGATTGAACTCTTAGGTTACGAAGGTGTTTCCTCAACCAACTGTTCTCCAGATGTTAGCCTCTCCAGACTAGGATTCAGTTGTCCCCTGTTTTCACATGCATTCATTTGGCCTTTCTCACATTTTCAACAGACTCTTTGCCCTGTACTTTATGGCCTTGAAACCAAGTGGTTTTTGCTTTTATTGATATCTCTGCCTTGGGAATCTCTGGTCTTGACATCTCTCTCACACCAGATATGTTGAAGCAAGCTGGAATCTTGCAAAACCTCAGAAAATATATTTCCCTGGGTGAAGGAACAGCACATGCACCCATCTCTGATAGGAATGACACTGTAAGGGTGTGTTGCTTCCAATTTCCAACTCTACAAAGTGCTTATGAGATAGATACTGCTATGTTCTAATGGTTATGATGATTGTCACGCATTTGCTTTGATTTCGAATGGTTATAACACTTCAGTAGAATTTGCATCCTATCAGAACAGTTGGTTTTAACTGGGGCACGAATCCTGTATAGATAGTTTTATGAGTGGTAGGGTGGGGGTGGGGGGACAAAATTGTGCCTTCTGGGCCCAGTTCAGTATTGCTTGCCCCAGGACCTTCTTTCTACAACATTCATGTTCAAAATGTTCACTTGAAAGAGCATAAGTAAATCTGCAGAATGCAGGGAGCAGACTGTCCACAGTACACAGCTGTGAGCTTGCTTACTTGCCACAATAAAGGCTACATAGTATGCCGATAATAAAAAATTGTCTGTTAACTGCCATGACATCTGAGCCCCATTAGAGCTCAAATGCACATGGAATTATATAATATCCTTAACTGTCTGCCCCTCTCATAAAGGCCACTGTTTACTTAGCCAATACGCATATTAATCAGATATAATAGAAATATTTTTCCAAACCATTTCTTTTTCTGGTTCTTTTTTTTATTTGGTCATTAGAGTGGTTCAAGAAATGCCTCAGTAAATTTATGCTGTTGCTGCTATTATTTCTTTATTTATGTATCCATCTTCTTTTTTTCTTCCTTCTTTCTTACAAACTTGACTCAAGTGCTTTCAAAACAATCAGCAGACTTGTAAGAGGGCAGTTTAGAAACCATCATCTGTCTGATGGTAATTTTTTTAATTACTTCAAAGTCGTCAAAATCCAGAAAAATGTGGAAGAAGGGGGGACTTTCGCTCACCACACATCTTCTTTTTTCTTCCCATTTTCATATAGGTGTCCAGCAGCTGTGACTATGTCTTTGTGAGCGGCAAGGAGTCCAGGGGCTCCATGAATGCAGGTGTGTTCTTCAGCTATGAGCACCTCAGCGCCCTCTTGGAGATGACTGTTTGGGTCCCCAAACTCCCTCTTCATATTGAGCTGTCTGACTCACGCCTCAGCCAAGTGAAAGGATGGCGAGTTCCCATCTTACCAGATCGGAGGTAGGCTAGTTTTGGGCTCTGTACTTTAACAAGGATTTAGAGAAACTGGAACAGATTTGGAGGAGGAGGATTAATGGAATAGGAAGTAAGTTTAGTCAAGAGAGAGAGAAGGATCTGAGTAGGTTTTAAGCTTTGGAAAGAGAAGACAGAGTGGGGATTCGGCAGAGACCTATTCTTTGTCATCCCAGAGGGTAGACACAGAAACACGGATATTAAGATGGCAGATTCCAACTGAATTTTAGGAAGAAAATTACATGGAAGAGTAATTTCACAGTGGAACTTATTACCCAGAGAGATAGCAACTCCCCTTTTTTGCATATGTTGAAGAGAAGTCTTTAATTTGGATTCCTGCACAGATCATACCTTAAGCGATCCCTTCTAAACCTGTGATTCCATGATTCCAGTGGTGCAAAAAGGAATAGGATGGGGAAGTCTGCCCCAGAAGGTTTAGTGGATGATATGGAGAGCTGTGCATGGTGAGATTGTAGCCATTCTTAGATATATTTCTTGTAAACTTGAACTTACCGTAGACTTTCCACACTAGATACTCATATTTGTCAGTTGCAGAATATATAAGCAGTAACCGTGGCTCATTCAATGATGGATGTTAAATTCACGATCATGATCTGAAAGATCCACTTTGGAGGACAGGAAGCATTGCCCTTTTTAATTCAGTGTTGTGTTGCCATCATATCCAAGATCCAACTGGCTGCATGACACCTTGGTAGGATCAGAGTGACTACCTTATCTACCTGATAACAGAACATGTTTTCTCCCAAATAATTGGGCAGGGGATTCCCTTCAGTTCAAGGATAAGGATAGAAAAAGTTGTCATAGGAGCAAAAGATGCAAATGGCTGCAGGCCTGCAGGTTAGTTGTTGCTTGGAAAGAGAAGCTATTTGCCTGGTGAATTTATTTTGTAACACCTGTGCAGCACTCTGGGTGGCTCACAATTTCCCCTTCCCTTCTCTTCCCCTTACTGCATCTACATCCTATTCCTTCCTTCCTTCCTTCCTTCCTTCCTTCCTTCCTTCCTTCCTTCCTTCCTTCCTTCCTTCCTTCCTTTTTCTGCTAGAGAGAGCAGAATGTATAGGTATGTGTGTACTTGACTGTGATATGTGTGAGGATGAGTATAAGAATGTGAGAGAGTGAGAATACACAGATAGCAATCAACTAGTTTCATAAATGGGATACCATATTTTAAAAAAATAAAATTTAATTAGTGGCCATTCCTTGTGTTAGTATACATTTATTTTGTTTGCCCTGACCCTGCTTGTTTTGGAGTGTGGCTTCTGACAGGAATATATACAGATATGCACACAAGTATACTAGTGTGCCATATGCACACATTTCTTTGGGATAGGGGTATAATTCTCAGGATTGGTTTCAGATCCAGTAGGCAACGTTAGCTTGACAAGCTGGGGAAGCTGAGCATTGTTGTGAGTTTTATGTGTATTTATCTTTCTTTTCCTGTCTATCTACAATACTTATTTGGGAGGGCAGTCATCTTAAATTCAGGGTTGTCTTCCTTTGGGGTCAATAAGATACTGATTCCTGACCATCTGAGAAAAAAAAAAGAACCTTGATAAGAAAAAAAAGGAAAATAGTTTGCATTAAAACAAAGCTGCCAACCAAATCCTTTTTCTGCACTGATGTCCTTCAACTTCTCACAGGTCCATACGGGAGAGTGACGATGAGGATGAGGAAGAAGAACGGAGACAAAGCAGGGGCTGCACACTTCAGTACCAACATTCCACCCTGCAGGTGTTCACACAGTTCCACACCACCTCCTCTGAGGGCACAGATCAGGTGGTCACCATGTTGGGCCCTGAGTGGATGGTGGAGGTCACAGACCTAGTCAGTGACTTTATGAAGGTCGACAACCCACGCGTGGCACACATGGTCAATAGCAATACACTAGCTGGCAGGGAGCCTGGCACTACCTTGTTCAAGGTAAAAGCAAATCAAGTGCGGAACCCAAAAAAGAACCATTCTGGGTTTGTTAGCCCTAGAGGGGGTAGGGGAAGGAAGTGGAGAGGCAGAGAGGTTTTTTATTCCTCAGATGCAGAAAATCCCAGTAAATGCCATCAGATTTTCAGTAGATGATCCACAAGCGGTCCTCAGACTGAGCAGGCTGGCTGTTGTAATGGTGAAAGTGAACGGTGGGTATCTGCAAAGGGCAGTCTGCAGATACCCATAGGCCCTTTGCTTATTATTGTCTCATACATTTTGGGGCAAAGGAAATGGATGTCCTGATTTCAAAAATATCTTACCTTTTTCCACCCAACCTGTGCTACTTCTTTATTTTCTAGAGCAAGAATAGCAATCCTGTATAATGTTTCCACTCGACTCCTTTTATTTTTTTCAACGAGACCTTCATTGTTCAGTTAGCAACCAGTGAAAATGAATTTGGGAGCAGGAATGAGACATTACATAATAATCCTAACACAGAGGATTCAGATATGGAGGTATAACCTATTCAGTATGTGATTCTGTGTATTTAAACCAGCATTCCACAATCTGGTCCATGTCATAGATTTTCAAGCCCAGAGTAGGAACTAGGAAGCCAGCATGGCAGTTGGTTTAGCTTGGGCAGGACTGTATCATTGGCACCTCCAAGAGCAGTTTTGTGAACCCTTCTTCCTCCACTTTGCATTCCCCACCCAATACTCCTTGCTTCTCTCTTGTGCATTTTCTCCCTGAAGTGGTTCTGAGCAAGGCTTGAATCTCTGCCAGGCATCTCTATAGCTACAATTAATTCCAGGCTTTGACATTGTATTGCTTTCCTAAGCAAAATTCCCAGGCTGCCATCTTCAAAGATATTGTGGCTCAAGGTCAGTGTGTCTCCCGCTGATGAAATACACTTTGAAGAACTTTCTGTGTGTCTGTGTGAGGGAGAGACCATGAATGGGTGATGATCTGTGGACTGGCTATATTAATATGAGAAGCCCAGTTCCAGAGGGAGAAATGGAAAACGTGGCTATAGATCTCATGAGGCGGTTTTGAAATCAAGAATCTCTGCTATGAAACCTCAGAAGCTGTTCTGTTACGGGCATTTCTTTTCCTGTAATATATTCTTTGCTTTAAAAAATGAAAACACTTTCCTCATGTAAGATAACCCATATTCAGTGCAGAAAAAAGATGATATGAATAAATTATGGCAGTAATACAGGCTTGTATCCATGTCTGTGCTGCAGTGTTTATTAAGCTTTGCTTATCATTGAGCAATGCAAGGTATATTTTATTCCTTCCACACTCGTTTTTTTTCAAATGAAAGTTTAGATTCTAAGAATCTCAAGATCTGTGCCTGATCTGGCTGTTTGGCTTCCATTTGCTGTGCCTAAAAATGTCAGGTCCCAAGCTAGAATAAGGGTTTTTTTAAAAAAAGATGTGGATAATATATTTCAGGGTCTGTTTTGTCCTGGTTGTTGTGTATCATTATCTGAAGAGGTGCATGAAAAAAAGAAAAGTCAATCAAAAAATTGTGAAATGGGAGCATCTTTTTTATAAGAAGAGACTTGGGAGGTGTGGGAATTTGAGGTCCATGTGCTACATTTGCCCCTCAGAACTATTGTTTGCTGTCCCCAGAACATCCCGCTCCTGACTATGCTACCAAAATTTGGTAACAAAGTGAGCGTTGTTCTGAAAGAAGATGCTCAATTTGAAGGATCTTCCATTTAATCTAGAAAAATTAATTTAGTGCTTTTCCTATGCTTTTAATAGGGTTGTTTTCACATTTTCAAAAATCTGATTCTATGAATCCCCAGTCATAATTCTATATCAGTGAGGGTACCCATTTCTTCTACAGGTAGTTTCTCCACTTGTGGAAGCTGTCCTTGGGGAGACACCAGTGACCGTGGTTGATGAGAAGGTTACCATTATGGAACTGAAGGCTCAGGTGGTCTCAAACCTCTCCCTTTCCCTTCATGCCAGCCCTGGAAATAGCCACACCATTGTGGCCAAGACAACAGCCCAGCAGACTCTCAATTTCTCCAAGCAGGTAATGTTGACCACTCTTGGGGAAGGTAGTCTCACATAGTTCCCAGAAACCCCCAGTGCTCAATGCAAGCCCATATGGATTGGTTCCATTCTCCCAGAGAGGCAAAGAGAAGGCCAACTGTTCTCTTCAGACTGCAGAGAGAGGCCCATGTGATGGGAGGTTGCTTCACAGGAAAGCATTCCCTGTAGACAGAGAATGAGAACGTCACAGGAAAGATGGAACTTGGGCTGAACAAAGTGCTTCTCAAACATTTTCCTATCAGAGAAAGTGAATTTTTCTGTGTATTGATGTGGAAGGGGAACTCTGGTTCATTGGAGAGATACTGAATCTTTAAAAGGTTCAGAGAAGTTAGAGGTTAGTGTTAGGAACAATAGGAGTTTTTCTGTTTTTAGGGGAATTTTTTTTTAATCACTGAAAATTATAGCAAAATTCTTCTCACCAGCTGCCAGTGTTTTCCTACATCACAACTTATTATTTGAAGGACACTGTTGCTGGTTTGCACAATAAGCTGAACAAGGTCAGTTGAAGATCTAGCAGTTAGATTCACACAACATGCTAAGCATAGTTGGTTTTAACTGGTTAATGTTGTTGCTTAGATTCTTGTGTGAACTCAGCCTATATGTGTATAGGAGAAGGTAGCTTACCAGCGAAGGAACTTTTTACAAGATTTCAATGGCCTCAGAAATGTTTATTTAATAGGTTGATTGTTTACATCATGTATAGTCTACCATATTCCAAATGACTCCAAGCAGTTTACAAAGTAAGATGTACAAAAAGAAAACAAAACCACTGCAAAATAATTCATGTAACCCATTAAAATAAAATAAAATAGAAATCACAGAAGAATAACACCACCTCCAGGACCCATTCCTATTGAAGGTGACATAAATAGCCACGTAGGCTTCAAAAGCCCTACAAACGAAAACAGATTTCACTGTCTTTCTAAATAATAATGAAGTAGGGGGAATCCGGTCTTCTGGATTTTTGGATTTTGCTTTTTATTTTGGCATCACTGCAGATGCCATTTGGGGATGTTGCAGGCAACAGGATATCCACCAAGGCTGCATTGCCAACCCCTGCAGTTAGACATACTATGATTTATTTATTTGGGCATAGCATGTTAAGCAAACACCAATTTCCTTTTGTTAATCCAAATTTAGGGTTTCACATGTTGTGTGAATATGGAAAACTGAGAAGGTTGAGATTGGATATGAATAAATGAGACAAAAGAGAGACTGATTTGGAGAAAAGGGCAGGTTAATTTGCACTAGGTGGGAATTTGTATTCCAGAATATCTGGAGGATGACAGGTTGGGGAGGGTCTAATGTGAAATATAGACTTAGATAGATGGATGAAGATGGTGGAATGTGGGGAATTAGGGCTGATAGACTGTAGTGGTTTTCAGACTGGGGGTCCTAGGGGTCTGGGAGATCATAGGATCCCTTGCTATGCCTTCCTTGATCAATAGTATGTATTGGCAAAGAAGCTTTTCTGAAATTGTGCTTGACAGCCATTCATGACCCTTCTGTCCTGGCAGCCCATACATATCAGTTGGAGGATATTCTGGAATGTTCTGTAGTTCCTAGAGTAGGAGAGTTCTTAAATAAAGATTTTTTAAAAAATAGAAAATAATTTTTCTGCTGAATGAAGGCATGCATTCTGGACTGTGCTATCCATAACAGAAGGATTCCACTCTCCAGAGGTTGTATCTGGTCTCTGATTTAAGTTCTTTGGGATCTCATAGGAGATCCAGAAATACATTCTTGTGCAAAAGCTTATGGATGGTTCCAAACAGTTTTGTCCCTTTTTTCCAAATAGGAAGCTCTGCTCAGTCTCTGGGTGTCGTACAGTGATGGCACAATTGCTCCCCTCTCTTTGTATGACCCAAAGGATTACACACTAGTGGTGACAAGCCAGGACAAGTCAGTGGTGTCAGTGATGCCCGAACGGACCTTCCCAGTAGTGAGGGCTGAAGGAGAAGGGTCTGGTGAACTGATCAAAGCTGATCTGCTGATCTGCGAGAGCTGCCAGAAGACCAAGCGCAAGAGTGTGCTGGCCACCACACTGGCCAGCGTTCGTGTGCATTTCAGCTCTGAGGAGGAGCCCACCTATGACTATGAGCCTGTCCAAACTCCTAGCAGGCCTGGACGGGAGAAGGGAATGCCGCGCACCACACCACGGGTGGAAGTGGAGTGGCCTCTGGTGCCCAGTCAGGAGAGTTGGGTACCAAGCGTAATCCTTCCAACTGAGGATTTCCCAACCATTCCCACTGGCTATGTGCAAGTCACTCGAGGACTCACAGACCTGGAAATAGGCATGTATGCCCTGCTGGGTGTCTTCTGTTTAGCCATTCTGGTTTTCCTTATTAATTGTATTGTCTTTGTACTCAAGTACCGGCACAAACGGATCCCTCCAGAAGGACAAACCAACATGGACCACTCCCACCACTGGGTCTTCTTGGGAAATGGACAACCATTGCGGGCCCAGAATGATCTTTCCCCTCAGCCTGAGAGCCCAGGCAACCCACTGGAGAACGTGCAGACCTGCTGCCATGGCGACCACCACAGCAGTGGCTCCTCGCAAACCAGTGTGCAGAGTCAGGTGCATGGGCGGGGGGATGGCTCTTCTGGGGGCTCCACCAGGGACCAGAGCGAGGACCCGCTCAATTCCCCCACTTCTAAGCGTAAGCGGGTCAAGTTTACTACGTTTGCCACCATGCCCTCTGAGGAACTGGCCTATAATTCTATCCCTATAGCAGATGAAGAGGACTTGGAGTGGGTCTGTCAAGACATAGGCTTGCAGGAGCCTGAAGAGCTGCACAACTACATCCATAGGATCAAGGAGATTGCATAATGGGCCGGACCCAACACTTACAAGCCAAGGAGAGAGATGTACGGGGTGCTCTCCCTGGGCTTGAAATGGCTAGATCGCACTGCCCTCCTATGCGTGTTGGGCTCTCCTCTAGCTCTTCCTCTCAGTGGACAAGCCCACCTGCACGACCAGGAATGGTTCAGAGGAAAACTGGACATCTTGTAGAATGGGATGAATCTTTTTTTTTTCTTTTGGAGGGAGAGCTCTCACTGAAAGGCTGCTTGTGGTGCATCTATGGGTCACTCTGTATGGTTGAAGGAGACTTGACTGGAGCAGGCTGGTGCTTCTGGTGCCCACAGGCAAGCATTAAAATGGGGTCGGGACTGACTGGCACCGTCAAGCAGGCCAAGAGAATGGAGCGTCTGAGCCATTGTTTGGAATTAGCCAGAGTGTGCAATAGGTCTTTGCACCTGATTGGTTGCTTGGGGGAATGTTACTCCTTGCCTTGCCAACACCCACTGCTGCCTTTGCCGCCCGTCTCTCAAAGGCGATGCAATCCTTTGGTCTCTCGGCTTTTTTTTTTCTTGCACAATAAATGTTGACTCTTTAAAATAAATAACATTCAGGGATTCTGCTCGGCCCAGGGGGAGCCAAATGGAACAGTGTTCTGGGGCGTGGGGAGGAGAAATCTCAGATCAGATTGCCATCAGCTGATTGCAGACCGCACAAGGCAGTTGGCACTCACCGTTGCTAGCTGGGGAGGGGATCTGAGAAACAGGACTGCCCCCCTACTACTCTAAATAGCCCAGAGTCACCCATTGGGGGAGATGGGCAGCATACAAATTTGAAAAATAAATAAATAAATACCACCTCCCCCTTCTAACGCCTGCACTGCTTCCTCCCTAGTTCCAGTCTCAGTGTTTCCAAGATTGTGTATCAGGTTAGTAAGCCCACCCTGTTAGTCCAAGCAGAAGAGAGTCAGGAGCAGTGGAAATTAATCCTCCTGGAAGAAGCCATCTAGTTTCCAAAGAGGGATCAAGTTCCCAACCTGCTTGGGTTTTACATGTGGAATGTCTGGGCTTGAAGACCCTCCTGGTTGGCCTCTCCATTAATTGACAGCCATGCTAGGAGCAGTTTTCCCTTCTCTTTGAGGCAATACACTTTTCCTATAGAAGGAGGAAGGGGGAGGTGTAGCTACTAGTCTTTCACTGTGAGCACTCCCCTATTCCCTCTCTCACTGGCTGAGCTTCTGTGATGTCAAGGAACATCACAGCTCCTCCCAAGTGTGCAACAAGGCATAGATTGTATGAAGAGTCATGATATAAATGAGGGAAGAGCAAGCAAGATGGGGTCAGGCATGATGATGGCACCCTGATCAGGAGCAACTATATACTGAGGGCTGGACTTTACATTTTGATTAAAAAAGACAGATCAGTCCAATCTGGCTGCAGGATTCATACTTTTCCAGAGGTCTTTCCCTGGCTTCTCCACTTATTCTTCACTTTGGGAGGGAGAGTTGGTACTTGCAAATGAAAATACTGGATTTGATCCTCAGGAGGATCATGATATCCTTGACAATCAATCAAGGTGGTGGTGGGCCTTTCAACAAAGTTGAAGAACCACTGACATTGCTGTTCCTCAAGAGTCCTGGGAAACTTTCAGATATTGGAATGGTGGGGAGAAGAGGCACATACAAGGGGACAGCAGAGGGTAAAAGAGCAAGTAAGTATAAAATGATTCATTTGGGGGCAAAATACTTTAATTTTTTATATACACAGATGGAGCCTGAACTGTCTGTTACTAACCAGGAAAATTATCTTGTGGTCATAGTGGGTAGCTCAGTGAAGATGCTGATGTATATGGCTCATGTGGGAACCACAAGCTCCAACTAGGAAAAATAAAGAAGGAATTAAAAATAAAATTGTCAACATTGTAGCACACTTATATAAATCTAGGGTATGTCCACACCTGGAATACTGTATAGTTCTGGTCGCCATATTTAAAAATGAAGATAATTGAGCTGGATCATCCAGTGATTAGAAGGATCATAGAACAAAGAAAGTAGTTTTTCACATTACACTCGATTAGCCCATGACACTCTGTGAATTAAAGCCACCATGCTTTGTGGTAATGAGGATGGGTCAGTCAAAGGCTATCAGTCTTGAAGCTCAATATTATCTCTAGGTTGATGGCAGCATGCCTTCAAATACCAGTTGCAGGAGAGCAGCGGCAGGAGACAGGTCTACCTCTGCAGAGAAGCAAAATACTAGACTAAGATGGACCTTGGCCTTACAAGTTGCAATCACAATACATCTGGAGAACACCAGTAAATATTTTGCAATGCTTAGCATTCTGCAGAAGATGTGTGTGAGGCTGACAAACCAAGATATGGAGCTAGAAGGCAGGGTCAACTGAAGTTAGGAGGTATATTCCTTCTCATTTGGAGCTTGTTCACACACCCACACACACATCCAATGAGATGAGTATATTAATAAAAAGGACTCAAACAGCACTTTGCACTAGTTGGGTTTTATGAGGCCCTGATGATGCATTTTATTTTGCTGTTAACCTTTGATACTTCCCAAGCTCTGGGTGTTTGAACATCTGCTTTTAACAGGACCTCTCAAACTATGCTATGAAAAATTAAACTGCCACATGGCAGAAACTACAGTAAAGTCACTGGAGTACATGCCTGGATGCCAAAAGTCTCATATCTCATTCCCAGTATCTCCAAATAAACCAAGAGAGCTTTTGCAGAGACGCAGTGGCCAATGAGACTTTGAAGAGCCTGTGTTAGCCCCAGTATCCTTCAGCAGCTTCCAAGCTCCAGGGACAAGCTTACAAAGGTGAATTATGATACCTTCTCAGTCCTCCTGCCTAGCTGTTCCTTAGGCTATGAGTTTCTCTTTGTTCCAATGGCTGGGGCTGTCAGGCTGAGTTACACTCCCTGTAGTGGCTTTGAGTATGTGGCATGTGGCCACGTCAGGTGCTCCCTGGGCCATTCCTGGGAGATTTAAAGTGGTGCAAATGCAGCCACTTCCATCCCTCAAACCAAATCTGAATTTGATCAATTAGTTCCTGACTTGTGTAAATATAGGCTGCATTCACACAACATCTTGATTATGAAATTAACCCATTTTCTGGGTTTAGAGAAGATACTGAACCATAACCAAACAAGCTGTTAAAGTTAACATTAATCAAGCTTGTTGCAAACAAGCCACAGAATACCTTCACAGCATGCAGAAAATCCCATTCCCTTGCTAATGGGTTTTTCCAATCCAAGGAATTTAATACAAGGTAGGGGCTCCCACACTGGCTGTGATTCAAGAGTAAAGTGCATGCATTGGATGCTGGATCCTGAGTTGAGTTCTTTGGGATCTTGGCCTTAGAGTTTGGGAAGCAACTATTCCTGATGGGCCATTGGTCTGATGCAATTTAAGCAAGTTGAACATCATTGTAAGGAACACACATCCTGGCAACTTGGGAGAATTTGGGGGCTGACATTCTTTCGCTACGAGCTCCAGTTCTCTGGCTGGGCTCACATAGCATGCCAAGCATATTTACTTGTTTGTTAGATTTCTGTCCTGCCTTTCATTCAGGAGCGCAAGATGGTCTATGTAGCATGCCCTTCTTTTTTCTGCAACCATGTTGTATGGTGGGTTGAGCTGAGAGAGTGATTGGTCCAAAGTCAGCAGATGAGGGTGGACTAGAAAACTGGCCAGCAAAACACAAGTGCTGTTTTTACATAATGTATTATGCTCAAACCATGTTGTGGCTTAAGGTGGTTGACTGTTTCACACCACTTGCTAAGACAATTCCCATAGCAGGCTTGAGTACTGAACTCTGTTTCTGGGCTTACTCAATAGATTAAGAAATAAAGCAAATGGGCTGGATTAAAATAACATTCTAAGCCATGCTAAAGAAAGAATGCCCCCTAACCAAGATGAAAACTAACCAGGATGTACATGCTAGGTGAATGCAGCCACCTGGTTTGTAACCAACCTGATTAGATGTTTTGTATGAACATGGCCATGACATCTGCCCAAAAATTCAGACCAGGGGGATGGCTGGAAATTATCCCATCTGTGGCATCTCTGGCTAGGAAAATTAAGACTGACTGTTCTCTGGAATAATACTACTACTAACAACAATAATTTCTTAAACTTGTATGCCACCTGACTCAATGACTCTGGGCAGCTCACAACAATCAAATTGCAATAATATCAATAAAAAATTAAAGATAAGAACAGATGATACTGTAATACCTAAGTAAAATTGGAAAGGGTTATACCCACCCAACTTTAAGGAATGTAATTGCATTTCTGCAGGAACTAAAGAGGCAGTTTTAATCAGAATTTGAAAAGACCCAGGATAGGGTTTAATAAGGGGAAGCAGTCTGCAGTCTTTTCTTCACTGGATTCACAGAACATGTTAGCAACGGCTAAAGAGGGGTTTGGATGGTTCAGAGTTTAGTGCCCCTGGACCAAGTTTATATTCAAGAATGGCTGCAGGTAGAGTAGATTGTAAGAGGTCATCACCAATCCTTTAATAACATACATTCACTGCATTATACTTTTGTACTGCATATGAGAACATTTTTGTGGAGTAAGGATGAACTGGTTTCAGGCTATAGAAGATACGCTAGCACTGGACATCTAGGACATAACCAAGTCTCGGCAGAGTTGTAGGTAGTGGGAATAAATGTGCATCTTAGTGAATTGCAAAAGTAAAGGCTGCTTGCAGAAAGCAAGAAGCACAGTGATCAGGAAAATAGGATGGGCAGGATCATTTTGAAGCTGTTCCAGAAAGGAAAGGGGAGTGAAGTTCCCCATAAGAAATGACTTTGCCTCTTAGAAAGGAATGTCCCCAAGCTAGAAAGATGTTTGAAAAGATAAAATGGAAAATGACATGAAAAGGCCTCCTGGCTAAACAAATTCAAGGATTCGTTTTTGTGAGAGGATGGGCTTCCCCTTCCTTCCCAAGGATTTAGCTTATGTGATGCGAACTATGAGAGCAAGTCATGGGAACTGAGAGAAAGAGAGAGGATGATCAGGGAGAAGCTTCTGTGACCAAAAGACCCAAACCCATAAATTTCTCCATGCATGTCAAAACAAAACAAAACAAAAGTGTGCAAAGAAATAGAAACAACCTTCAAAGTCTGCAAAACAAAGTGCCTTTCCTCAGTTACACCTAAACGTAGCACAAATATGCCCCAGCAACCTTGGTTTTTTGGTGGTGTGCCCTAATGACATTGCCTTCTCATGATCAATGGCAACTTTAAGTCATCCTTAGCAGTTTCAGTTTTAAAGTAGCAATAACCACCTGGTTGCCTACAAGTTTTGCCATTGCTACCACCTGATGCATTTCACCAAGCATTCTGTTGCTGATGTGGTCAAGTGACTCCTTCAGGTTGGGATCAGCCTAGCTCCTATTGGCCAATTTAGGCTAGTGCCAGCACACCCCCTACCCTCCAGTCCTTGGGCACCGTTCCCAGGGCCCTCCGGATTTGAGCAACCGGAGAGTTCAATTCCTTCAATCCAGACTCTCCGTCGATAACCGTCAGGTATTACAGCGATGGGCTTGGAGATCTGGATCAGCCTAAACAGCAGCTGGCTCTGTGTGCATGATGGGGACATGTGGTGAAGCTAGTGAGAGGAGAGATGGCTGCTCTCTGCTTCTTACTAAAGGTTTCCACTTTCTCCAGTCTCTCCTTGCAAGACCCATTGTCATTCTCTGATGTGTTCTGGTTTTTCTACATCATTCTTAAAATCCGATGCCCACACAGAATAACTTGAGCTGGGGGTCTGACCATTGTGCAGTAAAGTGGTACTATTACTTCCTCTGATTTAGAAATGCTCATTTCAAATCCCAGGGATAGTTACATGCTACATTAGCTGGTGAATTGGTGAGCAAAGTCTGGGATATATTATAGTACATAACGGGCAGCCTGGTAGTTTTATCTTTTGGCTGAAAATGTGGTGATAAAAGGGTTTCTATAGCCAAATGCTCTGATAGCATTGAAACAATTTGGGACTAGGCTTAAGATTCAGAACACCCTTTCTGGCCTTCTGCTGAATGTTTTACTAGCCCCTCTTCACTAGCTTTGTTCTTGAAATGTTAGTGACCAATGTGGCAAAAGTCAATTTGCAACATTTGGAAAAGGAGCACATAGTTCAAGCAGCACTGGGTGTATGCTGTGCAATCTGGGCTGTCCCCAAATAGGTAAGAAATAGGGAAGTTTGGCTGCACATGAGAGATTGCATTTGGCTCTGCACGTTATTTTGGGGGAGTTTGTGATCTAATCCCTTGAGGTTCTCCCAATCATACTGTTTTTTGTTGTAAGTTCTGGAAATGAATGACATTTGCATATTGCCCTTTTGGAAATTTCTTCTGGGGCCTGATTTCTGATAAGTGGAGTATCTTTATTTTTAAACTTCATTTTGAACCAGTCCTCATATCTGAAGAAAACTCTACGAATCATTTAATGTGGTTCCACGCATGATCACACTGAAGTAATTACATCCTTACTCCCATGATATAGCTGGAAACAAGAGTTTTATGCGGACCTTCTGGCGCATTCTCACACTGGAGGAAATGTAGATTAATACCACCAACAAAGAAATTTTGTACTCCCTAACTTGCTGGCTTCACTGACACTTAACATAACCAAGAGCTGACATGCAACAGCATCTCGTCTCAGCAATATTTTTTGGGGGGGGGGGAGAAAAGACACATCTACAGGTAGTTCTCGCTTAATGACCATTCATTCAGCGACTGTTCAAAGTTATGCTGGCACTGAAAGAATGGTACTTACACCTGGTCCCCCAAGTTAAGTCTTTGCAGTGCCCCCATGGTCACATGATCAAAATTTGGGTGTTTGGCAGCCCTCCCATACTTACAACCACAGGAGCGCTTCAGCCCCCCTGCCTATCTCCCCCCCATCTCTGCCCTTCTGGTCACCTTGCGAAGTGGCATTTCTTGGGGGTGGCAGCGCTGGGGCTAGAGTAGAGGCCTGGGGCCTTCAGTCTCAGCTAGCCACCACTGCCACTGGGCCTCTACTTGAGCCCCAGGTGCCAAGGAGTGCTGCCTCAAGCCCCTCACCATAGCCAGCCACCTCAGCACCACAGG